CTCTCCCGCTGCCTCCCCCCGGCAGGAGCCGCCTCCCCGAACGCCTCCCCATGAGACGCTGCGGGCAGGCCCTGCCCAGAGTGGCGTCTGGGCCCCAGCCCGTGTTTCCTGGAGACTCGGCATAGCACAGCCCAGTGGGCGGGTGTCCCGGGAGCTGGGGTGGTCTCCCTGGCCACTGGCCACCTGCTGCCGTGTCAAACCAGGCTCCCCATCCGCTCCCCGGGCGTCTGCTCGTGGATGCGTGCCTGTCATTTGCACTTTTACTCTATTTGCACAAAACATGTTAGTCTCCTAACTGTAACCAGCAAACACCTGGAAACTTTGGCTTCCTCTCCTGCTTAAAAGAAAACACCAAGCCTGTGCCCTGGTCTCCCGTCTCTGGGTCGTGGTTTCCCATACATGTCAGGCCCCTGTCCTGCCCTGAGTGTCGGACCCCTCCATACAGGACACGCTCACCTGCACACACGGGCGCTCGCACACAGTCACACACACACGAGCTCACTCCCAGCCCAGACGGCCGTCCTGCAGGAGCTAAGACACCTTGGAGAACAGATGAGGCCCCTTGTCAGCAGGCAGGTCTGGTCCCAGGGAGGAAACGAGCGGTACAATTTTATTTCTTCTTACGTGAAAGGAGACACAGACTCAGGAATAATTCAATCTGCCTTTTCTGTCAGAACTGACTGCTACATGTAGGAAGCTTCCTTCTCATCTAATTTTACCCCCCAAAAATAAAAGACTCCAAGAATGTTAGAGCTAAAAGAGTTTCATTCAACCCCATCACCTGGTACCTGGGGAGAGGGACAGGAATGGTCCAGGGCAGTGGTGCCTCCTGCCCAGGAGTGGGTGGGAGACCAGGGACAGGGAGGGAACTCAGGGACGTGGTGGGGACCCAGATGCCAGGTGGGGGTGCAGGAATGGTGGCTGCCCCCTCCCTTCAGGGCTCCCACAGACCTTGGGGACAAGTGCCTGCCAGTTGTGAGCCACAGAGATGCAAGGGGGTCTGGGGTGCCCACCCCGTCCTCGAGCATCAGAGCGTCTGCAGCTGGACCCCACCCCCGGCCCTGCAGCCAAGGCCCCAGCCAGGCTGAGCAGATGGGCAAGGAGACCAGGGCCGGCTACAGGGAGCATGTGCTCTGGGAAGTCAGCCGACAGGCCTGGCTGCTGTCCTCCAAGACGCCTGCGCGATTGGCCCGGCACCTGGGGACCCTGCATGCTGACTCCCCACAAGGAGGGGTGCTCTGGGCCACCCTCTGTGACTGGTGGTTTGTGCTGAGTGCCGGGTTCCCTGGAGTCTGGAGTTTGGGTGCCCACAGGCAGAGGGTGGACACCTGGGAACGGCCTCTGACGGGCCCCCTGGGGAGACAGCATCTCACACGTGGGGTCACAGCTCATCTCTTTGGCATTGAACATGTCCGGATGACTCCCCACATGGGACTGGGAGCCTGCCTGGCCCTCAGGCTTCCCCTGGGCGCCCGCCCTCTGCACACTTGGCTCTGTGTCCTGTCGCCATGACAGATCTTCGCTGTGAGGGCGACTACAGCCTGAGTCCCGTGGCTCCTTCTAGCAAACCACTGAGCCTTGGGCTGGTCTTGGGGACCCCATCACATGCTTCAGAGTCTCAGGAAACATGACCATACCTCCTAAAGGACCGAGTCCTGGGTCAGCAATTGGGGGTGAATGGTGGCAGGTGATGAGCTTTGTCCTTGGTGGGGCTGCATTTGGCCCATGGGCTGGCCTGGCCTGGGGACCTGGCTGAGGTGCTCATCACGCCTGTGATCCCAGGGAGTTTGTGTGGTTTGGAAGTCTACTGTTTTCTTTAACGTTTTGGGGACATTTTGCACTTACAATTTAAACTCTTTTAAAACCACAACTTGAATAGTTCAAGGCTCTATAGTGTATAACAGATTGCTGTTGCTGGCCATTCATTCTTCTAACAAAGACCCACCATGTGCCTGTGCTGTGCTCCGTGGGGGTGGCATTGGGGGATGGGGAGAACTGTGTAGACAGACCAGACCCCACTGTCCGGGCGCCCATCCAGGGGCAGGGACAGACAACAATTAGGTGGACAGGGAAGAGGAAACAGGGTCATGAGATGGAGAGAAACTAGAGGACGTTTCGGCCATTGGCCGTTTTTCCTGCAAAGTATCAGCAGAATTAGTATCTTTGTGTGACAATCTCCAAGTGCATCTTAGATTGTGTCCTGAAGATAAATTGCTAGATGTGAAATTACTGGGAGAGAAGTATGAGCACTTACGGCTCGACAAAAACTGTTTGGGCAACTCTTGCAAATTTCCCAAGTTGTCTGCCACAGCCTCTGCAGCAAGAACACGCATGCACTCATCCCACAAATCCAAGGCTAGTTCTCCATCGGGTGGGGGTGGGGAGGGGCCTCCAGAAGGATGTGGCCACATGTTGCCAAGAAGGAGGAGGGGAGGGGGAAAGGGAAGAGGAGGGGGGAGGAAGAGGGAGGGGGAGAGAAAAAGGGAGGAGGGGAGGAAGAGGGAGGAGGGGGAGATGAAGGAGGAGGAGATGCAGGACGAGAAGGGAGGAAATGAAGGAAGGAGAGATGGAGGGGGAGGAGGAAGAGGAGGAGATGGGGGATGCAGGAGGAGGGGAGGGAAGAGGGCTTCTACTAAAAGACTTCCACGCACCTTGTGCTTAGACAAACACGTTCACTCGTTCATCAGTCTATTGAATCTTTCTAACCATCTTGGAAGGTAGAATATTATCATTCCTATTTTAAACTGGAAGAAATTGAGGTCCAGAGCATATTAGCAGGTGGCCCCGGCATCCAGTGCTGATGAGCGGAGGCTCTGGGCGCTTTATCCTTTGCATACACGTAAGATCGCTTGCTCTTACCAAGTTTAAGTTCGACTGAAGAGCACGAGGTCAAGCAGACAGAGACCTGACACTCCCGTCCCAGATCTCTGTGCCGCGGCCAAGGCGGCTTCATCAGCGTGACAGAGGAAGCAAATGAACGCATCAATTGTTCTTTCAAGAGGCTTTTAAGAGTAAAACAGATGTAAATTCCCCCGAGTCGCTCCGTTGCTGTTTGACTGATGTTCACAAGGGGTGGCGGTGCTGTCTCCTTGCCGCGGCGTTTTAAAGGATCCCGAGGCTCATGTGTCCCTGGGGTCCCTGGAGAACACACAGACGAGCTGTGACGAAACCGCCGTCCCACGGTGGCTCCTCAGGGCGTCTGCTCCGTCTCCTCGGAGGCTCGCGGGACACGCCCCCTGTCGGCCCCGCAGCAGCCCCTCCTGGCCGCCCCACCCCTTCCTGCCCTGAAGCCCCCGCGCCCCTCCGCCCGCGTCTCCTGCTGCCGCTCTCCCGCTGCGGCCCGAGCCGCCGCCCAGGGCGCAGACGAGCAGCGCATGCGCACACAGGCACACGTGCATCCGCTTCCGGACAATCACAGCCAATTGTTGGCAAATGGAAAACCACAGCGAGGGAGGCACGGTCTGGCCCCTGTCCTTAAACAACTGGTGGTGGGGGTAGTGCAGACACAGCTGGTGTTCTCAGAGCCATCAGGAGCCTCAGGGGACATTTTCTCCTCCCCTGGGGATGGTGGCTTTGAACATTAGGGCCTCATTCATTCCGCCTTGGTTCCTTCCCAAGTGGCCACCGTCCCCTGAGGGACAGTGGGAACAGTCCTTCCCTGCCTCCACCCTCCCTCCTACTAACAGGCTGGGTCTCATCCAAAGGGTGGATACTCTTTTGCCCAAAGCAGAAATGGCATCCCCAGAGGTAAGTGTACCTCCAGCCCCACCCACTTGAGCCCCGGCAGCTGGTCTTGGCAAGACAGAGGGGGGTGGACCAGATGACCTCAGCGCTGCCCAGAGCCCTGTCTGTGCAGGTCAAGATGGGGGCTGTCCAAGGTGTGCAGGTATGTGCAGGGAGTGGGTACAGCATCCCCAAGAGCCTCCTGAACTGTCAGCAACCCTGTGGCAGGTGCCAGGGGAGAGACAGAGGAAAGGGCGGCACCACCCTTCCCCCACTGGGAGAGACTCTGATCTGATGGAGGAGACATGGGCGCTGCCCTTGGAGAGATGGTCTTGAAACAGGGAAGCAGGGCCTCCCTATCAAGGAGCTACCAGTCAGAGAGAAGAGTCAGTGCCTCATACTCCATTCAAGCAGTGATGAAGGAGACAGCACAGCCACCTTCAGTGAGCTTCCAGTCAGATGGAGGAGACACAGTCCACACTTGAGACGATTTTGTATTCTGATAGGGGAGACGTGGTCTTGAGGAGACATGGCCCTTTTTTTGAGAATTCCTAGTCTGATGGGAGAGACAGTCCCACTTTGGGGGTACTCCCAATCTGATGCGGGAGTAGAGGCCCCCACTTCCTAGGAATTTCCAGTCTCATGGAATAGACATGTTCCCATTCAACTTCTGAGGTCCCCAGCCTGATTGGAAAGACCCAGCCCAATAATCTGGAATTTCCGATCTGATGGAGGAGACATGGCCTCCCACCCTCTGGAATCTTTCCGTCTGATGGGGAATTATAGCCCCCATATTCTGAGGTCTCTCGGTCTGACAGAAGAGACACAACCTGGAGTACACAGCTCCCAAATATCTGATGTGGGAGACACTGCCCCCATATTCTGAGAATTTCCAATCTGATGGGGGAGACATGGCCCCTAGACTTTGGGAGTGTCCAGTTTGATGGAGGCATGGCCCACCCCTCTAGGGTCTTCTAGTTTAATGGGAGAGATATCCCCCCAAAGGCTGGAAATTCCTAGTCTAGTGGGGGAGAGACGGCCCCCACCCACTGAGGTCTCCCAATCTGATGGGGGAAGACACAGCTCCCTGGCTAGCGGGCATTGCTGGGACACAAACTCCGCCTACACTACCACACGTCACCTGCTTCCTCTGTCTCCCTCCCAGCACCCCACACGGGGAGCACAGCCAGTGGGGGAGGCATAGGCGAGCTGGCTGGAGGTGGGCAGGGGATGCTATGCCCTGTGCTGGCCCAGCTGACCCAGCCCCTCCGGCTCTCTCCCCAGCGGCAGTAGTGGCCATGATGATCGTGCCCGTGCCGAGCAGGCCGATGGAGGGCCAGGACGTGACACTGACCGTACCGGGCTACCCCAAGGACCTGCTGGTCTACGCCTGGTACCGCGGGCCTGCCTCCGAGCCCAACCGGCTGCTCAGCCAACTGCCGTCGGGGAACTGGATTGCAGGCCCCGCGCACACAGGCCGGGAGGTGGGCTTCCCCAGCTGCTCGCTGCTGGCGCAGAAGCTGAGCCTCACAGACGCCAGCCGCTACACACTCAAGACTGTCACACTGCAGGGCAAGACTGAGACGCTGGAAGTGGAGCTGCAGGTGGCCCGTGACTGTGGGGGAGGGGGCGGGGGGCACCTCTTTTCAGACAGGGGCTCCCAGAAGAGGCCTTTGCCTCCTCCGTGAGTCTAGGAAGAGAGGTCAAGGATGGATATGCCTCCCCATCAGATGGAAGGAAGGGGCCTTTGCCTCCTCCGTCTGACCTGGGACTCCCCAGTGGAGCTCTTGCCTCTTCTGTGAAACTGATAACCTAGACCAGGGGTAGCAAGGCTCCCTCCATCAGACCAGGGGCACTAAGCAGGGCTTCTGTGCCTTCTCGCTCCTGGCAGAGGCATACCAGACCAAAGGTTTTAAAACATGGGACGTAGCCTGAGGATAAGGTATCCTTTTTCCTGCAGATGGGTGGCCCCTAAAACACAAGAGATATTGCCTCTACCACCACGCTGGGAGGATGGGTTAATGATGGAGGCTTACCTCTCCCATCAGGCTAGAGGTGCAGAGTGAGGATGGACCATGCCTCCCTCTTCAGACTGTCATCCCAGACAACAAGGGTCCTGTTTTGTCCTTTGCATTATAGTAAGAGTGAGAACAGAATTTCTACCCCTAGAAGGTAAGATACATCTCTCAAACTGAAATAAGGGTGATCTCCATTAGGATGGACGTTTCTAGGTCGTAGGAATTATGTCTCTTCTATCAGACTGGAAATTCCCAGTGGTTAGGAAGAATGTCTCCTCCATCAGTCTGGGGGCTCCGAGAGTCAGGGACCATATCTCTGTCATCAGTCTGGGGGCTCCGAGAGTCAGGGACCATGTCTCCTCCATCACTCTGGGAGCTCCCAGAGTCAGGGACCATATTTCTCCCATCAGACTGAGCATTCCCAGAGTTCTGAGAGGCCATGTCCCTGAGGCAGGGTCAAGTTTTACACATTTGACCAGGAGCTATCAGACACCATGGGCTAGGTCATTCCCCAGTCTGGAGTCTCGCTTCCCCCAGGCAGTCCCAGAAGCCATGTCCCTGAGTCAAGGATAGTGACCTCCTGCCTCAGACTTGAAGCTTCCAGGATCAGGGACTCAATCACTGCGAAGCACCCCTGGTACCTTCCTTCATCCACTCACTCAAACCCTGGTTTTCTGGGTCCATGTTGGAGGGAGAATGCCTGTCAGCGGCAGCAGGCCACCCCCGATGAAGCCTCGGAATTCCTTTTCATCCTGTCTCTCTTCTCACAGTCAACCTCCCTTCCTCGCACCAGGATCAACGCCACCTTCCTGAACCTGAACCTGGCACAGGCTGAGCATGGGGGCGGGCGGGGCCGCTGGGAGGCTAGGGTTGGGCAGGGGAGCGGGAGAAATGGGGGCACTGGGGACCTGGTCCCCTACCTCCCTGACAGTCTCCTCCGCCCCTGTGCCCATCCTTCCGCACAGACCTGGAGTAGCATCGTGGCCCTGGAGACCTCCAGAGAGATGAGCGCTTTGTGCCACCCTCCTCGTCTCCTCCCCCTGAGCGGAGGACCTCTCGCTTCTAGCAAGAATGCCGGACCATGGCCCACTTTTCTCCTGTTTCCAACCTAGAGTTAGAGCCACCAGGGCCCTACTCCTTCACTGAGCTGTCAGAGAGCCACAGAGTTCATAAACGTCCTGGTTAACACATATATGTGTCAGCCTATCCTTCCGCCACCGCCAACCCTGCCATTTCCTGCTGGCCACACTTGCTGCTCTTCCCACTCGAGATTATTCTCAGTCTGGGTGCATGCATCCACAGGGATGCTCAAATCCGAGGGCTCCAAGCACCCACTGCTTGATATCAGGGCCTCAGGCCTTCCCACATCTCCCCAGGTTATATCTGAGGGTCCTGCTTCCTAGTGGGGCAAAGAATGTCCCTCCTCTGGCACCAAAGAGTGGCTGGACATGCCCTCTCCTACACTGCACCCCGCTCCTTAACCCAGGGCCTGATGCCAAGCTGCTTGTGCACACGACAGGGAATGACCACATTTCTCAAGAAGAGTTCCAGCACCTTCTGGCCTTCATCCATTTAACCAAAGATGCCCTTTTGTGTCCTCCGTTGTCCTGGGAATTCCCCCCCCACCCCTCATATCTCTCACACATCACCTGCACGGCCCTAAAATATCTCCCTCCTCCTCTAAACACAAAAATCCCCTATGAATAAATGAATGCAAATGGAGCAGGGGTAGGGGTGAGGGGTGGAGAACAGGGGAGCAGGAAGCAGAGAGAGTGTGTCTTCTAACTCCTCCCACTAGCAGAGTCTGAGCCGCAGGCCCCCACCCACTCAAGATGACCCACTGGCGAGACTCTTGGTGTTAGAAGTGGCGATAGCAGACTCCAGGCTTGGAGTGGAAAGAGAGGTTTGGGCAGGGATGGAAAGGACTAGTAGAGAGATTTCTCCAAAACTTTCAGGCCAGAGCATTTCTGGGGAGGCCATGCTGAGCTAAGATGGTGAGTGGTGAAAGATACCCAGAAGGAGGGTTATAAAAGCTGGGCTGGAATCCTACATTTGCTGTGGGTTCACTAGACCCTCAATTTGTCCATCAGTAAAAAGGTGTGGACTTAGGATAGGCTAGAGTTTTCCAAACCATTTTATTAGCCTCAGAGCCCTTTCTTCAAGTGCAAGCTTACATGGTAGGTCAGTATCTTATTTAAAATGCAATGCAATGAAAGTAGATAACAATTCAAAAGCTAGAACCCATTCCCCACCCCAAATTTCTAAACATTTAGTGGGGGAAATCCTTTTTAAAAATTTTTTTCCTTGTTTGTTTTTTAATTTGGGGCAAGAGGTAATTAGGTTTGTTTATTTATTTATTTAATGGAGGTACTGGGGATTGTACTCAGGACCTTGTGCATGCTAAGCACCTGCTCTACCACTAAGCTATACCCCTGCCCCCAGAAACCCTTGAATTTAAATAATACTTGGATTACAGGGACACTTAAAATGCAAAATACTAACCAGAATCAAATGACAGTAAAAACATTATATAATGAAACCGTGGGATACGGCCAAAGCCACACTTGGCGGGGGAATGAAAGCCTTAAATACTTAAATGCATTGAGAGTATTAAAAAGAAAAGAGCTTGAAAGTGAGCAAAATAAGTTTCTACTCAAGAAATTAGGGAAAAAGTCCCCAAAATAAACCAAAGGGGAAAAGGTAAGGAATTAAAGGTAAAAGCAGAAATAGATGAAATAGAAAATAAAATATTGAGTGAGTCAATAAAACCTAAAGCTGGTTCTTTGAAAATATCAGTGAAATGGACAAACTGTTTGCACATGTAACAAGAAACAGCAGAGACTAACATATAAAATTAAAGAGAAACTGTTTTGATTAAAGTGAAGGGTCTGTCCCAGGGTAGATGCGCGCTCTCTCTCTCTCTCTCTCTCTCTCTCTCTCTCTCTCTCTCTCTCTCTCTCTCTCTCTCTCTCTCTCAGAGAGAGAGAGAAGAGAATGTGGTTAGCTCCCAGCAACCATTCCCCTCTCCTCTTTCATGATGGCAGGCACTGCCTCCCATAAAAGGAGCTGAAAATGTCAGGTACTCACTTTCCCAGACTGCTTTACAGCAACAGGTGTCCACATGACCAGTTCTGGCCAATGAAGGAAGGAGGGAGCTAAAAGTTCTGTCCACTGACTCTGTCCTACCAAACTGAGCACTAAGAGAGCTCCATGAAGTTTGAAGGCTATTAGCTAAATCCATGATCTCCAAGATGAGGTTTCCAGGCAATAGCACAGCTAGAAAGTGAGGATGGATTTAAACCTGTACTGTTAACCCCAATAACACTGACCAGCCCCAAATGAGAAATAGCATCAAAGTTCTCTCCACACCTCCGTGTTCACATAAGAGTCAGTGACATACCTATCAGTTAGAATTTTTCTTCAATAGCTGGTAAGAAAGACTGGGAATAATGTAACACAAACAGCAAAGAGAAAGGACACTAATATATAAGATAAAAAAGAGAAACTGGTGTATATATATATGAGTAGCTTACATGGATAGAAGATTATTTCTCTCTCACATAAAAAGTGACCATAAGCAGATTGTTCAGAGCTGAAATGGTGGTTCCACAGTGCCATTAGGGACACAGCTCTTTCTATCTTTCTGCTCCATTATTCTTAGCTGGGGACTTTCGTTCTCTTGATCACCTCATGGTCCAAGATGGCTGCTGGAGCTGCAGCTGCCTCATTTATGTTCCAGGCAGGAAACAGAAAGAAGGAAACAAAGGGTAAAAACGGCCCCATGCCAGATTATGGACTGTGCCCTTCTTAAGGAACCCTTCCCAAAATCCCAAGTACTACAATTTCCACTTACATCTGATTGGCCAGCTCTTAGTCATGTGACCAGCCTAGCTGCAAGGGCGGCTGGGACATGTAGTCTTTTCCCTGGGTATATGGCTGCACCAAAGAACATCAGGGTCCTGCTCTCAAAGAAGATGGGAAGGATGGATCCCAGGTGGGCAGCTGGCAGGCTTTGCCATGACAGACCTTGAATCTCCTACCTACTAAGCTGGACAAAATGACCTTTCTCACCTAAGCCCAAAGAGAAAAAGCTCCAGCCACAGTAGCAAGGATTCGGGAAAGACTTGGGTTGTGTCCAGCTGGGGTTTGCTTTGTGCAATGCAGAATGAGGCCAGGGGGAGGGGCCACAGGAGGGGGGCAGCTCAGTTTTCTAGGTCAAGCCAGATGCCATTTCCTCAGGATGTGGAGTCAGATGTCCCCAAGACCAAGTCTCCTATCCCCCTGGGTCTCTCTGGGTCCTGGACTGAATCCTCCAGGCAGTCCGGTCCCCTTCCTCAAGAGTCCAAGAAAGAGTAACAACAAGAAACGAACATTTTTTTTTAAGAAAAAGGAAAAAAAGAGTAACACAATCATACAATAATCATGGCTCCTCTATCCCGAGCATCAATTTTGTCCTTTTGTGTGCTCTGTCTCAATGAATTCCTACAACAGCCCTTCTGAGTGGTTACTGGCAACTCTTCCACCTTACAGATGAGGAAACTGAGGCACAGAGAGCCAAAAACCTCGCTCCAGGTCCCATGGTCCCCACGGCTGCTGGGTGTGTACATGCCAGCTGACGCATCCCCTTCACTCCTCAGCAGGGCTGACGGGCAAGGGCGCAGCCTCGGAGCCCGACACAGCTGAGCTGGCCGCCTTCGCTGTGGGCCTCCAGGCAGCCCGGCTCTTCCTCCCCCACAAAACAGGCATAATGACAGTGCCCGCCTCCTCCTGCTGTGGTGAGCCCAGGTAACAGATACTCCGGAAGCCAGTAGGACGGAAGTATTAAGAAGTGGAACGTCTAGAGGATTTAGAAGGCGAATACCCGTTGGAGGCCAGCACCTGCCTGATTCAGGATGGGAGCAAGGCCTGAGCGATGAAAAGCTCATGAGAACCCAGTAAAAACTAAGACTTCAGATACAATAAAAAGAATTAGGACTAAGGCATTAAATGAGTCCATACAAGGAAAGAATCTAGTTAATACAAGCACTTTTTTTTTTGGTTCTTTCTTTGTTTCTGTTGGGGTTTTTTGCGAGGAAGTAATTAGGTTTATTTATTATAAAAATATTATATTTTAATAATATATAATATTATAAATATTTTATAAATAAACCTATTAAATCTATTTAAAATATATTATATATTATTTGTACATAGAGGTATTTTTTGTTTGTTGTTTTGGGGAGTAGTGAGGTTTATTTATTCTAATGGCAGGACTGGGGATTGAACCCAGGACCTCATGTATGCTAAGCATGCGCTCTACCACTGAGCTATGCCCTCCTCACCGTAAGCGCTTTTTAACCATGAAGATGTTAGGTTTGAGCAACAGGCAGATGAAAAAGCCCCAAATCACCATTTTTCCGTAATGTCTTCTTCCTTGGGGACTTAATTAATCCTATGGCACAGGTTTCCCTCATTTTATGTCATACAGGATGTTCTGGAAAATTGTCACCACTTGAAAACAGCCTATAAGAAAACTAGTCCATGTGTACGAGCTTTCCAAATGCCAACGCTAATCATCACAGGTGCCTGGGCCACGTGCGCTCAGCGCTGATTCCCCAGCCTGCTCCTCAGGCCTCCCTTTGAAATGGGGCCACATCTCCACAGTCTCCTAGCTGTTTATTAAAAACGTACCTCCCAGGTTCCTACCTGGGCCCAGGGAAACTGTGTCTCCAGAGAAAGGACCTGGAAGCTGGATTATTTAAAAATAAAGATCCTGGGTGATTTTTGTCAGCTGAGACACTGGGGGACACAGATACAGGGACTGTTTGACAAAAAAAAGGAAAGTGAGGCACAAAGAGTAGGAGGCAACTTGCCCAAAGTCAGCCAGCCAGGAAGGGGTGGGGCCAGGAATTGGCCCAGGACCACAGGGCAGGTTTGCAGACTGAAGGTTGAGACTGGGGCCCTCTTCTGCCCTAAGGAGTTGATAGCGTCTCCCCACATCCCCCCACAAAACCCAGAGGGTGCTTGGGGTCCTCTTGGGCCCTCAGATTCTTCTAGCCATGGGTGGGAGCCAGGCCAGACCTCCAGCACTGCCTCTGCCCCTGTCCCCATCCCCATTCATCCCTTCCTCACCCAAGTAAACTTTCTGCAGTGGGGAGGGCAGTTTCCGGGCAGGAATGACCTTGAGGCCGAAACACACAATAGCCCAGTC